CTCCCACTACCACGCCCAACTCTCCCCTCTGAGCCCCTTCCTCCTAGTCCCCCCCCCCCACCTCTCACTCCCACCATCCCACCAGAAGGGATTACCACCCCTTTACTTGGCCAAGCAAAGCGCTCCCAACTCATTTTGGTCCTCCTCAGTAGAAAGCGTTCCGTCCAATCATCAATGTTCCAGAGGACAGCTTTTGGAGGGCGAGGAAGGACTCTTTTCTTCCCTCAGAGCCTCAGTCTAACCTTCACAGCCTTGGGTCAAGTCCGTTTGGAGCTGTTAAATCCACTACGGTAGTACACCACCCCAGCCTTGCAGAAAGTTTTTGTCGCCACAAGCAAAACTCGGATGGGCCGTGCGGCGTGGGGCGTGGTTGACAAGAAAAATCGGTGGCCTCCAAAGTGGTGCGGGTTTCTTGCTGACACCCGCAGGCCCATGTGTGGTGTACTAGCGCTTTAAACCACACGTACACGGCCCCAGCCTTGCAGTCCGAAACTTGTCACCACAAGAAAAGACGAGGCCGAAACGTTAAACACTGGGCCTGCCAATTGGAGCAGAGGTAGCGTTTTCATTTCGCGCTTCCAGAATTCGAGGTGTCAGGCCCGCAGCCCAGATGCCCATGTACTGGTGCTTTAAGAAGGGAGCCGGTGGTGTGTGGCAAGGACATGCCGACGACGAGTCCGTGCTTGGAGATAGCCAGAAAAGATCTAGCTTTCGACAGGACTGATGTGGTCACCAACGAGGATCGCACGATGTAGACAAAACATACCCCTTGGGAAAGCTGCTTCTTGTTTTCGTTTGCTTCGTTTTGAAACAGAAACGTCCTCGAGGGGCCGACTTTTGGCAGCGATGCAAGACAGCCTCCAAAAGTGGAAGTGGGCTCCTCCACGTTGATCGCTCCAGCCTATTGGGTGCGGAGCTGCGCCTGCTGAAAAGCGGGTCCCAAATCCCTTTTACCACTGTTAACAATATGTATGTATACACCCAGAAAGGGGTACGGCATTGCTTGCCCTCTTGTGAGGATGAACAGGGCAGACATTCTCCTTTCTGCGGCAATGGGGACCATCATTTGAGAATCACGGGGATTGTGAGGTGAGAATCGGTGTGTCCATCCTGATGACGATGATGGTGACCATCATCATGGCTACGGCCACGTGGAGATCAGCCAGAGGCTGCGGGGATTTTGGCTAGCGATCAACGCGATGAGGATCGTCATGGGCTATCAGTGTGTTAATGACGGAGATACCCGGGTGCCGCCGGGGTGTTGATGAGGAGCATCACGATGACAGAGACGAGCAAACTGAGGAGTGCGCCGAGAGTAATGGCTTTCGAGCTTCAGCCCATCTTTCTGTGTGGTAGTAATCAACGTGACGAGGATCATCCCAAGAGGCTCGACTCTTGTGAGAGCAAACGAAGGCCTCTAGCGAGCTATCATTGTGGTAATGCTGGAGATGCGCGAGTGCCACCAGGGTGTTGATGACGAGCACCACGACGACAGAGACGAGCGCACTGAGTAATGACTTGTCAAGCTTCAGTCCATCTCTCTGCAGCACTGCTTTCGTGTTTCCGACAGCAGTCCTATTTCCGTCTTCGCTGCACACTCCACAACATTCTTCTATAGAGCGCAGTCGGTTCGGTCAAAATTGTCAGTGACAGAACTGATGAAGAAAAACCAAATTCAGAAGCTCCAGATCAAATCTCACACGAACTAACTCAAGAGGGATTAAAATATATATCTATCTATCTATCTATATATATCGTCACAAATAGAACTGCCCGGTAAACCGTAGGCAGAGAGAGAGAAGAGGACAACAAACGAGGGGCTGTGACAAACTGTTTCGTCAGAGTTATATATATCGTCACAAATAGAACTGCCCGGTAAACCGTAGGCAGAGAGAGAGAAGAGGACAACAAACGAGGGGCTGTGACAAACTGTTTCGTCGGAGTTTCACCGACTCATCAGGAGGCTGAACCCTCAATATATATATATATATATATCGTAAAGTATACATAAAATCAATGATAACCACCAAATCAAGATAACCATAAATACAAGACCGAATTGTGAAGAAGGGCAAAAGCATGAAAATTATCTATAGAAATGTAAACCATCGAGCGCAACTCGAATGTTGAAGTCGCTTCTCCCTCTTCTGTCTCTCGACTCTCCTATCTCATCACCTCAATATGCATCTTCTATCTACCGGTTTGCCGTTCAGCACCTGCTTCACTGCCAAACTACACACAATCTCTAGAAATGTAAACCATTGAGGGCAACTCAATGTTCAAATCGCTTCTCCCTCTTCTTTCTCTCTCCTCTCCTCTTTCGTCACCTCAATGTATCTTCTATCTACCGGTTTGTCGTTCCCCACCTCTCTCCTTCACTGCCAAATTAGACACAATGTCACCCGGCAAGCCAATTGCTCTCTCTACCACCGGCTTATATCAAGCTTATCTTCTTCCCCCCAATACAACATAGGGTCATTATAGCTGTGTTTAGACTGAAAGATATCCCAAATACAGCTATAACGACCTTACGTTGTATTCGGCGGAAGAAGCTAGCGCAATAATCCTGGAAGACTGGAACTGGAAAAGACAATCTGTCTTCTGCAATTGCGCGGAGTCTTGCCGGTTTGTTACTCCCCCACTCCTTCACCTTGCAGCTTCACTTTCAGACCCAGTCCCATGTTCCAGCCCGAGATACTTACGAGTCTGCATGGCTCTGGAGCTTCCCCGTATGTGGTCCTTGTGGGTGTCCAGAATCGGGCTCAGCAGAATGCCTGAATAGGGTCCAGATCTAGGGCTGGAAACGATCCAGGAGGATCAAACAGACTAGACCCGAAGGCCTAGGGCCTCCCTGCAGGGGGCGTATGCCTTCTACTCCTACTCCGATCCACAGACAGGGAAAATGCCTGGCAGATATGCCTCTGCTACTTCAGGCCACAGAGAGGCAAAGGCCTGCTCTCTGCCTATTCAATTACACGGTTACTTTACTTCTGCTTGTTAGTTATTAAATTCCAGATAATATACTGAAGCACGTTCAAATCCCACGCAAAAAAGAAGGGCCGCAGTCACCGATTATCCCATCAGAAGGGGATTACCACCAAATACATGGCAAGGGGGGGAAGGGGGGGGGGGGGGGGGGGACAGACCGCTGACCATTTGGAACATCCGCAATATGCAGAGGATTTTACTATTTCAGTTCTTTTTTTTTTCTCCTTCTTATAATCATTAGCCCCCTTGTGAAAGAAGAATGACATGCAAGAAGTACTACTTTCACAGGAAAGAAAAACAACGTGCAAGCAGAGGAATATCAGCAGGCTGGATTTATTAGAAAAAGGATGGTCGACCTGCGGGACATCTGTTAAAATTGGAACGATACAGAGAATGAAGATTGGCATGGCCCCTGCTGCCCTGCATAAGGATGACACGCATAAATCGAGAAATGGTCCAAATGAAAAAAAAGAAAAAAAGGGATGGTCAAAACCTAGGCTACCAGCCGGGCCGTTCGGGTCACCCTATTTCCCCGGGCGGCCCGGCCGTGCAAGGACTAGGGAAGGTCCCAGCCAAAAAAAATAAAAAAATAAAAAAYCCTAAAAATCCGAAAAAAAAACTATGTTATGCAGAAAAATAAACTGAACAACTTTTGCCTCAGGGTCACACCGAAATTCTTTACCAAATTTAAAATAAACTTTTAAATTATTTTATTTTTATTTATTTATTTATTTATTTATTTATTTTTGGCCCGGCCGGGAAAGTGGACCCGGGCCACTTAGGTCAAAACTGTAAAAAAGAAAACAAGAAGTCCTTCGGGACATCCGTTAAAATTGGAACAATACAGAGAATGAAGATTAGCATGGCCACGCATAAATCGAGAAATGGTTCAAAATTTAAAAAAAAAAAAAAAAAAAAAAAAAGATACATCCGGACTCTGAAGCCATCGTCAAGTGCAACATTGCCCAAGCCAGACAGTAACAGCCTTATAAAAGGCACTTGAAAAAAAAAAAAAAAAAAAAAAAACACGAAAAAAAGGGCAATTCTAACAGCTTGTCTGGGCAGTCTGTATTCACACACTGAGAAGAACTACCTACTTCACAAGTCTTCAACTGATTTTGAGAAGCTTTTCTTTATATGGGTACATACTACATTACATTTATAGGGGGCGGGGTTTTGGACACATGCATGGGACAGGCTGACAGTCAATCCCCTTTTGAACAAGGCCATCAATCCTGTCCATGCATGATCCCCAGGCCATAACATGGGAAGCGTCTAGGGTGGGTAGATTATGGGTATCTTGCTGACTTGCAGAGGGAGAATTGGAACCAGACTGATGCTTCACAGAATGGATACGGAAGCCGGGCACATAAGGACCTGTTTAGGTATAAAAAAAAAAAAAAAAAAAACACTCTGGTTTTGCTAAGATACAGTGTGCTCTACCTTCTTCCCCCCGAATACGACATACCTGCCTTTCATTCCAAACTTGACTACAATAGCTGGCTGCTGCCACATCAAAGAACTGTTAAAAGTTTTTTTTTCTTCGCCGAATACTACTCTAAACAACCTCTTACAGACTGGATTGCAAAGAGGCTCGTCGCCATGGCACATTTTTTGGGATTATTCGTGCGCGAGATTCTGCTCAACCTTTTTCTTAAACGTTCTCAGTTTGTTGCTGTCTATCGTTCCCGCAGCCGGCGCTGTTTATATCCATGCCTTGCAGCTCAACGGGTCGACGAGGGTCACGGCTTTCATACCTCCGAATCTCAGAAGCGTCTTGCGCTTCCAACACTTCCCCTGCTTCCGCATCATCCGTCCTCTCAACACTCCGCTGAATTGCGACAGCTGGCATTTCAAAGTCTTTCAGTTCTTTCGAATAGCCCTCCTCTTCTCGTCGTTGTTGCTTGTCGTGCCCACCACGAGTCACCGCGTTGTCTGCATTCGTGCTATCTAGTGCTGGCGTCGCTGTTCGCGGTTCGGACCTTTCAAGCCTCTGAAGCGTCTGGCCTTTTGAATCTGCTCGACCCGCGACCTCTCCCCCAGACGCTACCTTCTCACAAGCGCTCTCCGCACATTGGTGATTTCCGCGAGGAGCTTCCATCGAATCACTGCGCGCTCCGCACAGCCGACTCAAGCATGCGATGGCAGCAACTCCTCTTTCGCTACTTGCCATCCGTTGACACAAACCCACACTTTCTTCGGCAGCGATCGACGGGCTGCCGACTGCGGGAACCGTTCTCGACGGCGTTCTCCTTTCCAATGCATCCTGCACTACTGCTCCTCCGCTCTTCACATTCTGTCGTCCGTTCAGTCCCTCACCAGGTGCACACACGGTCGCTCTATTCAGCAAAACAGGCGTTGGTGTACCCCGAGGGCGTATTCCTGCGGCTTCGAGGCACATTCTTTCAGAGCCGCCATTTTCTCTCGCTAGCTGCCGGCGCCGCACTACAAGTTTGCGAGTCTCCTCGAGCTCTGTACGGGCTCCAACATCTTGCACCTAAAAGCGACAGAACACAGTTCAAAACACGAAGAGAGATGGACGAATGCACTTTTCCGTTAACTTTCAAAGCGAGAGCACGATACACAAGTCCCAGATGGTATAGTGCTGACAGGGTCCGGAAAATGGTCCCGAATTGGTCTGGAAATCTGGCCAGCGAAGCATATATCTCGCTTAGGTATTTTGTTTTTTTTTAATTAACCTGGATGCTCCGACTGCACGTGAAACATCCAAACATCCATGCCCGTGAAATGTGCCTGGACATCCGCGCCTGCTAGCTACCGGGAAAACTGTAAGAAATCAAAAATTGTTCAAAAATTAGTACGAAGTTACAAACTACTACAAAGGAATATTGTGGTTTGTGTAGGTTTCCTGAAACCATACTTCGGTAAAATGCCAAATAAAGTCATTTTTCATTTCTGTAATTTTTTTTTTTTTTTCAGGTTTCTTTTTCCTTCCTGCAGCAGTTCTTATCATGGCATATGTGCAGTGCAACCAACCTATGATTATTCAGAAAGCCTGCCTAAATTTATACAATAATTAAAAAAAAAAAAAAGGAAGCCTGCCTAAAATTGTACAATAGTAAAAAGTACTAAAAACAAAAAACAAAGAAACAACCATTTTTGAAATTTTGAAGCCTGCCTAAAATTGAACAATAGTAGCAAAAGAAAACTATTTCAGTATTTTGAGAGCCTTCGTAAAACTTGCAATCAGACTCGTTCTCAAACACACTTTTCATGCATGTAAACAGCAACGCAGCATACTGGCGACATGCGCCCACTCAAAACTCAGAGATATGGCTTTCAGATACGAGTTCACTCTCAATTGGCTATGGCGACTTCAGCGCCCAAACATCTCACTGTTCACATACACTGGATCACCCTGGATATCCCACACGCATCA